TCAAGCCCCAAACCAGAGGGTCAGCCTGACAGTCAACCAAAAGGCTTTATTTTACAGAAAACAAAATGCCAGAAAGTACAAGCATCCGTAATTTGGATCATCTTTTCATTGTCAAAGTTAGAAAGCCAGTTTTGGGTAGGGAGAAGATAAGCATCCAGTACTCTGAAAAACATGAAATAGATCTACCATAAATGCATGCTGGTACCATTCCAAGACCTCGTGGGTACAAAGCAAACCATGACTCCAGGCCTGACTGTGGAAGAGCGTCCGGAAGAAGGCTGGGGGTTTTTGAGCTACGATTAACATCCACCTGCACCCTCATGACACCACCACTCCACCCAGAAAGGGAGGAAACTGTTTAAAGGAGATCTTAGTCTCTTATTAGCAGCAAAGAAGTGGAAACCAGACCTTCCTGTATGACCTTCTTCACAGTGATTTCTACTCAGTTCAAAAACACTGTTAGAAATCGGCCAGGCGCGGTGGCTCACGCCTGTAATCCCAGCACTTCGGGAGGCCGAGGCGGGCAGATCACAAGGTCAGGAGTTTGAGACCAGCCTGACCAACACTGTGAAACTCTGTCTCCACTAAAAATACAAAAATTAGCCGGGCGTGGTGGTGCACACCTGTAATCCTAGCTACTCAGGAGGCTGAGGCAGGAGAATCGCTTGAACCCAGGAGGCGGAGGTTGCAGTGAGCCGAGATCACATCATTGCACTCCAGCCTGGGCGACAGTGCAAGACTCCATCTCAAATAAATAAATAAATAAAATAAAATGTTAGAAATCAAGAAAGGAAAACTCAAAACCATCACAAAAGCTGGGGTGTCAAAATGCCGACTGGGCAGCCTCACAGAGGTGGCTGGAGGAGAAAATGGGTTGGAGGGCTGGGAACGTGGTGCACCGACAGGTCAGGGCAATGGGGTCACCCCTCCCAAGAAAGGCGCTAGCTCTCCTTCAAAAAGGCTTTCCTATCAAAAAGGAAGCATAAGCAGGGCATGGTGGCTCACACCTATAATCACAGCATTTTGGGAGGCCGAGGCAGGCAGATCACCTGAGGTCAGGAGTTAAGAGACCAGCCCAGCTAACACGGTGAAACCCCCGTTTCTACTAAAAACACAAAAAATTAGCTGGGCGTGGTGGCACACGTCTATAATTCCAGCTACTCGCGAGCCTAAGGCAGGAGGATCGCTTGAACCCGGGAGGCAGAGGTTGCAGTGAGCCAAGATCGAGCCACTGCAATTCAGCCTGGACAACAAGAGTGAAACCCTGTCTCAAAAAAAAAAAAAAGAAAGAACACTGAAATCGAATATACACAGGAGGAAGGAGGATATAATGAGTTAAGCAAAGTGTGCAGAGCCCATTTCTGAAGAGGGAATCATGTCCTCTTAGCAAGCCTGGGGTGTATCTCTGGTTTGAGGCTTCATTAAAAGGTGTGGCCATAGTGTCTGAACACCCTATGGGGCCTAGGAATAACAGTGGCGCCAAGCAACTCCAGGTCAGTGACCTACACTGAAAGTATGACCTGAATGACACCCCCTTGGAGCTGTGTTTATCAAAATCACAGCGGGGACATAAGCCATGGGCAAAGCTCGAGTGGGCACTCAGGACCCAGTTGGTGGAGTCCTGAGGTGGAGTTAGAGGGCTGGCTCTTAGCAGGAGTCTTGGGTCAAGGGACAGTTGGTTGCAAGTCTCAGGCTGTTTTCAAACACAGCCTGAGCTTCAAGTGCAGCGGGAGACGTGCAGACGATCTCACAGTAACGATCACATGGTTACCTGGCTGAGAAGTTTCTCTCCTGGCCTTTGGCTCCCTAGGGGCAGTATTCTCCGAGGTAGAGTGGGGGTCCGGCTGGCCACAGAGTTGCTTACCCTCAGTGGGTGAACTGAATTTGGTCTCGTTTACAAAGGTGGACAGGTCCGAGGGCTGCGGGTAGTCCTGTTTGTCAGCCTCCAGGTCCACCGTCATGCACGTCCACTTCTGGTTGGTGACCGCCAGCTTTTCCTCATCTGTGGCGTGGACCACCGCGGAGATCACTGGTGGTGTTTCTGGTGTAGCAGCTGGGGTGGGGTCCTGCAAAGAGAAGAGCAACAGTGTCTTGTCTCATCAGACTCTTGGTCAGAAACTGCTCCCACCCTCAGGTCTGGGGACCCATTAGCCAGGACAGGTCCCGGTCACAATCCTCTGCATGCTTTTCTCGGACTCTGCTCCAAATGGCCCATTAAGGAAACAGATGGACACACAGATTCTTCCCTCTATGAATCTCCTTTTACGATGGTTTGTTTCAGGGAATGACCATGAATTTAAAAAAAAAGAAATCAGGATTTTGTGTCTTGGTTACTTGAGCTTTCCTGCTAGTTTTATGACTACGACAGCTGTGTGATGCTCACACAGTGCTTCAGGCTTGCATATCAATATCACCAGAATCACCTGACCATCATCACACCAGTCCCCAGAGGCAGAAAAAGGGGGATCTTATCTCCATTTCCATAGGAGAGTGGGAAGTGGAGTAGGGCAGGGTGGGAACCTAGAGAGGTCAGGGCAGAGCTGCAGCTGGGACCTGAGCCCCTATCCCCAGGGCTGCGTGCTTCCCTCCACTGCCCCCACCCTGGCCAGGGTCTGCAGGCTGGGGCTTTGCTGGCTCAGACTTGGAGGGGCGGCAGGTCTGCTTGTTTTATGACCCAGAAATTAGCCCTAACCGTATGACTGACAGGCTTGAGGATAACTTTCCTTGGTCTGTAAAGGGTAGAAGAAATGGAAT